CCCCCTGAAGGGGTACACCAAACAGAGTGCAGCGGAAGAAGGAGAGGGCAAGTGAGGAGGAGGAGAGAGAGAGGGGGAGAGAGGAGAAGAGATGGTGGGCGGCGGCTGAAGCTACTGGCCCACTGGCGACTGGAGCAACCGGCTCACTGGCTACTGGAGCAACAGGCTCACTGGCGACTGGAGCAACCACCTCATTGGCTACTGGAGCAACAGGCTCACTGGCGACTGGAGCAATTGGCTCACTGGCTACTGGAGCAACTGATTCATGGCGGCCACCCCTCTCCAACCTTCCCCCTTCCCCCCCAAACAACTCCTCATCCCCACAGCAGGGACGGCTCAGGCAGGGGCGGCTCAGGGCAGGGGTGGCTGGAAACGGAGAAGAGAGAGGGGGGGGGGGGGGGGAGGCGGCTGGTGCTGCAGATCCCCTCCTGCCACCCCCTTAACCTCCAAGCTCCCCCCCCCCTCCCAACACAACAACAGGTGCGGCAGGGAGAGAGAGGAGGAGGTGGTGGGCGGCTGGCGCTGCAGAACCCCTCATGCCACCCCCTCACCCTCCCCAATCCGCCACCCCCATCACCCCTTCCCCCCACAGTCGCTGGTGCTGGCGGCAGTGCTGGTGCTGGCGGCAGTGCTGGCGCTGGGCGCTGGCTCTGGGCGCTGGCGTCCACGTCCGCGCTGGGCGCTGGCGTCCGCGCTGGCGCTGGGCGCTGGCGTCCGCGTCCGCGCTGGGCGCTGGCGTCCGCGTCCGCGCTGGGCGCTGGCGTCCGCGTCCGCGCTGGGCGCTGGCGTTCGCGTAGGCGCTGGGCGCTGGCGTCGGCGTCCGCGCTGGGCGCTGGCGTCCGCGCTGGCGCTGGGCGCTGGCGTCCGCGTCCGCGCTGGGCGCTGGCGTCCGCGCTGGCGCTGGGCGCTGGCGTCCGCGTCCGCGCTGGGCGCTGGCGTCCGCGTCCGCACTGGGCGCTGGCGTCCGCATCCGCGCTGGGCGCTGGCGACGTGGCGGGCGAGACCGTCGGGAGGCCAAGGTGAGGCCGCGACGAGCCCATCGGTACCCCCGCCACCTCCCCCGAAAGCAGCTGACGCAACGAAGGCGCAGGGCGACGGGGGACCGCGGGACGGACGGGCTGCGACGAGCGGGGGCAGGCGACGGACGGGGCCAGCGACACACGACGAGAAGCCGCATAGGGGCCGCATTTGGCGCCATCGCGCAGCTCGCCGTCACGGGCAGAGTGACGGACGGAAGCTGCGCGACGGGCAGCACGAAGCAGAGAGCGACGGGGGCAGCCATAGCAGACGATGATGGTGGGCCCATGTGAAAAGCGAAATGGCCTAGGATCGGGCTCGCTCTGATACCATGTTGAAAGACTAAGTCAAGCTAGGACTTAGGTTTTAGGAAGGAGAGTAGGATCGCTAGAGGAACGAGCAAGAGAGTTGGCAAAAGATGAGATTGCATTAGAAACAGTCGAGAGTTATACAAGCAAGGCAAGCATGCAAGGGGTGCACCACCAACATTAGGCTACACAACACCATGTTAATGCTTGGGCAGTTATATAGAAACACTATGTTTCTTGACACGTAATCCCGGTACTAAGATCGCAATACCTTGTGGTAAAACTCCAGGACATCCGCGAGAAAGCTGTCGAAGCTAATCGAAAAGCGAATGCAATTGCCCGCAAATACACCGATCTCTTACGACGGGTAATCACTTTAGTTGCTGGGCAACAAGTACTGCTCGACACGAAGAATCTTTGACTACCGATAATCACGCCCGCAATATGGCGGACTCTTCCGCATTAGCAAAATGATTACACCAGTAACAGCGAAATTACTGCTGCCCGACGACTGGCGTATGCACGATGCCTTCCATGTCAGCCTGCTTCGGCCCTTCGTTGCTGCCATGACAGACATTGCCCGACAAAATGCCGCCCCAACAGTTCACCCAGTTCCGGAACCAACGCTTCACTAAACGCATTTTTTAGGGCACCGTGTTTGTTTTGACTTGGCTGGACGCTACATGGATTTCTTAATACATTGGATTGACCGCAGCAGCGAGGACGACCCGGGTACCATCAGCCTCGCTTGAAGCACTTTCGCTGCTTCGCAACTATCCAGGCCGAATGCATATGGCTGATATTGACCACCTTCCTTAGGGTAGATGGGGAACCGTAAAGAAAATTCATTTCTCCTTAACGGGGGTGTAGTGCTTGGCATACCGTACAACACAACACTCGAAAATGCACGTTCGGCCGATTTCATCGATACCGAGGCTGCATCGCGTTGTCTTCGGCTTTTCCTTGTCCAACCTGCACCCAATCTCGCGTTCCCGATGTTCCCGCCTAGCTAGGTTGGCCCGCTATCTCGCGTCATTCATTGTATCGTCAATCCATATTGTCACAACTTCGTTATTCAGCCCAACTATGTTGAACAGCTCATAACAAGTTTAGATGCATGTAACACTACGGAGTTTACAGCACATCAATAGTAACTAATGACTTCTAATGACTTCTCATGACTTCAGATAACCATATGGCACTGAAGGCTGATCAGCATTTGTGTAGCTCGGTGCAATACGTTCAAGCAAGGTCGGGAAGGAATCCTTGTGTTCACCGCTTACAACCATTCTACAACTGCACAGCATCTTACTCAACCACTTATAAGGAACAGAATGTGAACCCTCGCAGCCTGCCCTCCACATCCACCTTCCAATCGAGCGGCCCAGCTCACCATTTTGTTGACATGACGTGACTGAAACAGCTCAGCAGGGGAACAGACGAGCCCAACATGTTTCATCCCCACAACAACGAGCCACCTACCTCAGATACCGATTTTCCTTAGGACTGTGTTCTTATTCTGGAGTCGCTGCTTGAGGCATTCGTAGTTTGCCAAGATTTCCTCCTGTGAGGTCACGCTTTCAGCAAAGCTATACGGTCGTTCTCTTCCACGTGCGTCTCGCACCCATCGTCGAGTGACGTCACTCTCCCGTCGCAAACATGTCGTCGCCCATTATCACCACTACTACGAGTAATAGAAACCAGAAAATTATTATTGCTGCTTTTCTCTTCTCCCTCCTACTCATCGCTGCATCCACTAATTTCTTCTCCAGTAGTGGCTCACACAGCTACGACCTCCCCATCCCCGTCAAGATCTACAAGCCGGATGAAGCCATCCTCCTCCTTCTGAAATCCCATTGGACCGGCTTTCAATACGCGAACTCCTGGATCGAAGGCAGCAACTGCTCCACGTGGCATGGCGTCGCCTGCGACTCGAGCTCTGGCGTCGTCACAAACCTCGAGCTCGCCAGCACGTCGCTCAACGGCACGATCCCGCCCGCGATCGGAAATCTAACGGCTCTCACGAGCCTGATATTCAGGTTCAACACGCTTACGGGGCGACTTCCACCGTCCATCGGTCTGCTAACCCGCCTGCAGTTTCTTGACATTGCCGACAACGGTTCCGGCTTGCGCGGGAGCATTCCGGCCACGCTCTCGCCTTTGACGAATCTCATATATCTAGACCTGTCGCGAAACCGTTTCTCGGGTCCCATCCCCGGTTTTATCCTTGGCGGGACGATGAAATTGACCTACTTGGATCTCTCCGCGAATCGCCTCACGGGAAGCATTACAGGGGGAATGTTCAGCCGCCTTTCAGGTCTGAAGCGACTTGGTATTGCCGACAACCGGCTGACTGGAAGCATTCCGACGGAGATCGGCAAGCTGACGGCGCTGAAGCTCCTGTTGATTGACAAAAACCGGTTGGAAGGGCCGCTGCCGTCAAGTCTGACGACGTGTACTGGTCTGAGGTTGCTGGCAGCTGGAGATAACCGTTTGGGGGGCCTGCTTCCTGTGAACACTCTGTTGCAACTGACGCAGCTGGAAGGCCTTTTTCTGAATCGTAACGGCTTTGTTGTTACTTCGCTAGCCTCTCTCGTGCTCCACCCGACGCTGAGAAACGTCGAGCTGAGCCAAAACAAGTTCGTTCCGCGAATCCTCGCGACCATTGGGTGAATGAAAAGCATTGAGTTTCTGAATCTGGCGAGAAACGGGCTGACCGGATCTGTTCCCTCGTCTCTTCTAGCCTATCAGCCGAAGCTGCATGCACTCGACCTGTCTTTCAACAGGCTCTCGGGAAGCTTCCCATGGATTGCGGTGCGAGGCGCGCCAGAGTTAGTGTGGCTGCACATCCAGAGCAACATGCTTTCCGGCAGACTTCCAGAGAATCCATTCACGGGGCTCTCCATTTATAATCTCAACATGTCGAACAATTTCTTCACGGGACGTTTGCCCAATTTCGGTTCGCCAAACCCGGATCGCAATCTAGACGCGAGTAACAATTTCTTCTCGGGCAGACCGGAGTTCCGGGCGTGGGGAAAACGAGTCTGCCCGATTGAAGTGCAGACGGAGAAGCCTGACGACGACTACTACGAAACCGCGCACCTCAATGTCTCTCGCAACTGCCTTTTGCAGGTGCCTGGTTGCAACGTTACTTCGCAACGCAGGCCTGCTTCGTGCGCGGCATTCTGCGGTGCGAATGGCAAGTCGGGAGCATGCGGAGGGCATGGCACCTGCCGGCCTACACCTGTGGGTGGGAAGACCAGGTGGCGGTTCTCCTGCATGTGCGACAAGGGTTACTCATTGGAGCCGGGGCACACGTTCTTGTGTGAGCGCACAGCAGCAGCTACAGCCAAAGTACCAGAACCCTAGGGTGCAAAACTTGCGAGAAGGCGGAAGGGTGGGGACGGATTGGAAAAAGCAGGGTTGGATGAGTGGCGTGGCTCGGAGAGTCAGATGGCGAGCAGCAGGGGTAGGTTCAACCGGTAAACGTTTTTGCCAGCAGAGGCAGCTAAGGTGTAATGCCAGCATGTGGACATAAGGAGGAGATCAAATTGACTTAGCAGCAGAGGCACAGAAGTCATGAATATACGATAGGGCAATTTTTTCTGCAGGCTGTTTTGTTGATGGGGGGAGTGTAGCCAAGTCAATGCCATGCTGAGTAGGATCACGTTTTGCATGTGCTTGAAGGTTCCGTCTTTTCAGCCGCTTTTGCCTTGCAGCACCCAGCGCGCACCTGCTGCTGCTCCTACTACTGTTCATGGTTCGGTTACTGTTCGTGTTCCTGCTACCGTTCATGCCCTGGTTACTGTTCATGGTCCGGTTACTGTTCATGGTCCTGTCACTAGAAGCAGGAGCAGCAGCAGCAGCAGTAGCAGCAGTAGTCGGGGCAGCACAACTGGCAGCAGCACAATGAGGGGTATTCAGCACTGGTAGGGTGTGGCCTGTGGATGACTCGTTAGAAGGCTTTTTTGCTGTTGACTCGCTACAAACAGATCCTGTTGATGCGGAAACGGGAAAGGGGAGGATAAGGGAGGCAGAGAGGGGATGGGTGAGCAGGTTCAGGTGGTGGGGGCTGAGGAAGGGGGGTTGGAGTGTGGGAGAGAGAGTTTGAGGGAGTGTGTGAGGGAGTGTGGGATGGAGTGTGGTGTAAGAAGCGAAAGTAGTTTCGGTGCAAGTGAGATAGAGGAGATGGGGGCAAGCGGGGGCGAATGGGACAAGGGCAGTTGATGCGGAGAAAAAAGTGAAGGAGGGAAAAGGGGAGAAAGCGGATAACGGGGAAGGAGAGGAGGAGGAGGAGGAGGAGGAGGAGGAGGAGGAGGAGGAGGAGGAGGAGGAGGAGGAGGAGGAGGAGGAGGAGGAGGAGGAGGGGGAGGAGGGGGAGGAGGAGGAAGAGGGAGAGGAGGAACCCAAGCGGGTGCTTCTCTTTGTTGCAGGTCAGTTCATTGCAGCAGCTGCCTCCGCCCGTGCTCTGTGTGCTTGTAGTCACGGCTCTAACCTGGCTGGCTGGTATGGTTTTCTTTCCTGCTCTTTGATGCTGACTGGATGGGCCGAGAGGGCTTTGGGGGCTCGAGCAACCCTAGAGAATCCGGGGTAGCAGCAGCTAGTGCAGCAGCGACTGCACCAGCTAAAGCAGCTGCTGGTGGTAAAGCAGCTGGTGCAGCTGCTGCTCCTTTAGCAACTGGTACGCTAGTGCCGCAGTGAGTGGAGCGGCTAGTGCTAGTAGCGAGGCGGCTCTTGGGGCGTACATCAGATCAGGGCAGTGAGATTCGGAGTGGAGCGGTACTAGGCCCAGTGCTGTACGTGGTGGTACAGCGAGTGTGGAGCCTCAAGATGGATTCTCTGTGCTGCTGGTTTGGGTCCAGGACTGTTTGGGCAGTGGGAAATCTGGTGGGCAGTGGGAAATCTGGTGGGCAGTGGGAAATCTGGTGGGCAGTGGGAAATCTGGTGGGCAGTGGGGAATCCTATACCCTGTTTGGGCAGTGGGGAATCTTAAACCCTGTTTGGACAGTGGGAAATCCGAAACCCAGTTTGGACAGTGGGAAATTTGGTTCTCTCTGTCTGTTTGCTAAATTGCTAGCCACTGCTGCTGTGCCCTCTGCTTCTCCTGCTGGCGATGCTGGATCTGGGTGCTGCTGCTGCCGCTGCTGTGCCTCGTTCCAGCCGGCCAAATGCTAGCTCCCTCGTCCCTGCTGATTTTCTCCAGATCCCCATTATATTCGAACCCTGGCACAAGAATCCGCCTCCTGCAGCAGGACACAGCGGAAAGGGGCAAAACGAGGAGGAGGAGTAGCGAGGGGAGAGGACGATTTGGAGAAGCATCAGAAACAAGGACCTAAAAAATCTGGGATGCTTGAGTTGCAGCCTGCGGTATCACACCAGCAATCCAAGCGGCTGTTGCCATTTCCAGTGCTGTCACGCCTGACAAGGACTTCACGCATACCCATGTGTGACCTGGGGGCGCCCATGTGGCTACGGGAGCTGCTCTCACCATCATCTCTGCTGTCCTGGGGGCGCGCATGGCGGTGAGTCACCCATCGCATGGCGGTGAGTCACCCATCCCATGGTGGTGAGTCACCATTGCATGGCGGTGAGTCACCATCCCATGGCGGTGAGTCATCCATCCCATGGTGGTTAGTCAGCCTGGTAGTACTGGTGCTCTTGTTACTCGTGTCTTGTGTTGTTAGCCTGCTTCTTTCCATTATGTATTTTTTCACCATTGCTGATTGTGGGATTGTGAGTGGACGCAAAAGGTTTTATTTTAAGCATTGGTTACGTTGCTGAATATGGACTTGAAAAGGTCCCGGGTCCATGCCATGCCATTGTTACAGCTTACATGTTTCCACACTAGCTGTTACGTTGTTACCAGATCGGATCCTCCACCCACCGTGTCTGTGTTCCAAGTGACCTACAGCCTCCCCCTCTGTGGATGCTAAGGTGTGTCGTTGTGCCTCAGGTGGATGCCAAGGTGTGTCGTTGTGCCTCAGGTGGATGCCAAGGTGTGTCGTTGTGCCTCAGGTGGATGCTAAGGTGTGTCGTTGTGCCTCAGGTGGATGCTAAGGTGTGTCGTTGTGCCTCAGGTGGATGCCAAGGTGTGTCGTTGTGCCTCAGGTGGATGCTAAGGTGTGTCGTTGTGCCTCAGGTGGATGCCAAGGTGTGTCGTTGTGCCTCAGGTGGATGCTAAGGTGTGTCGTTGTGCCTCAGGTGGATGCCAAGGTGTGTCGTTGTGCCTCAGGTGATACCTTATGTCTTTAAGCTGTGCCGTTCCCCAGGTCATTCTATTGTGCCTAGAGTGGTTTCCCAGCTTTCCTCATGGGCCTTCGAGTTCTTGTGATGGTGGTGGAGATTAATTCATCTGTACTGAGCGTTTGCACTGAAAATGATTGTGATAGTTTTGACAGGAATTGCTGCCATTTTCCATCCCGGCATGAGAAACGGATCTACAGCTGAGTTGTTTTTCGCCTCACTCGCACATGTTTGTTCTATCCACCATTCCTGCTGCAGTCAATCATTTCTCCCAACCCTCGTACCGATCCAAGACGTTTGAGAACTTTGTTTCAGGTAACAAAGCAACGGCAGACAAGGTTTTCCGACTCTGGAGCAGGGAGCTGTTGTACGCTCCGAGGAAACTGGGGGGAGTGGGAGTACAAGACTCGGAGATGATCTTGGCTTGTCTCACGACAAGGAGGGTGGGGCTGCTGGCGCTGGAGACCAATCGGCTGAAGAAACACCTCATGTTGCGAGCTGCGGATCTTCCCTGCCCGACCCTTTCTGTCCTCCTGCACTGCCCGCCTGGCCTTCCCTGCCTCTCTCCCAGTTGTTCGTGTCATCAGCCATCTTTGGTGGTGGCAACATTCCTGGCTTCATGACAGCTGCTGCCTTTGCCGCTGCAGCAGCAGCTGCTTCTTCCTATACTCCTGGACACGCCCCCCCCTCCCCGACCCTCTGCCTCACGCCCCAGTCGTTTCCGGCCCTACTTGCATGCATCAACTCTCTGCCTGTGCGCCACACCATAGCCTTCCGAACCCGTCTTGCACATCTCCTTTCCCGAACTCAGCAACAAAATTGGATCACATGTCTCCCTTCTCCCTACCCACCTACTAAGTACTTACATTCTCGTGTCTCCTATTCTATGCCTTCGCCGGGCATAGAATTTTGATTCTACTCTACTATAAGATTGGATCTTGATGCCGTCAATCTGTTGATTCTACTCTACTCGCTATCACAGTATTGCTAACAAATTCAAATTAGCTTCACCACTTGGAACAAATTTACAAGAATATTGTCGATAGGAACCATGTGCTGAGGGAAAGAAAGAGAACTATCGAAGCGAATCTTACCGAAACCACACTGCGAATAATCCTTAGAGTTGGCTCATGTTCGAGCCACTAGTACCACCAGTAAATCAGCTCCTGAGCCATGAGCCAGGGAGCCATCAACGACTGACATAAAATTTCTGAAACTTAGTAGGATGGCGCCACCCGCGGTGAAGTACAGAATCCAGTCATCGATTGCTGAAGGGGGCGAACGACGCTATTCAATATTATCAGTTGCTGATGATGTCGCACACAAGAGGCACAAGAAGAACCCATTCGATCAGAAGTACCTTTCGCTAGCCTTGGCACCATTTGACATTGTAAGGCCCGATGGTACTTTGCACGATACATGGCCACTCTACTGTTCAGTGACGTAGGCTTTATTCACAGGCTGTTAACAAGGGAAAAACGAGAAATGTCTTTACGAAGGCTGACGTGGAGGAGGCGTCAACCAACGTTCATGTCCGAGCGGAGGTAAGAAGCTAGCCATTTGTATTCATGAATGTTTTGATGAGTGTTCTTTTCCGTCTAGCATCTGACGTCAACATTCATGCGTGCAGCTTATTCGAACAATGCGAGGTATGCGAATTTTCAGGTTTTGCTCACTAATGAGATCTTAGAAGGCTCTTTGCCAATGACGCGCTCCATTGACAACAGATGTGTTGTCTAAGAAGACCACTGAGGCCGTTCGGGAGCTTAAGATCACAGCAAGGGAGCCTGGTTCAAAGCCTACAAAACCAGGTCAGGACGAACTTGTGGCGATACTCAGGTCGTTTTCGTGCTCACAGCTAACAGCATCTACATTTTACAGCCCGAAACGTGAATGGGCAAGAATCGACGGAGTCTGACCTTGATCGGTACAAAACTATTTTCGGGGATGGGCAACTACTGAGCGGTGAAGAGAGGAGCAGACATGGAAAATTTGGTAGCTTCATTGGCGTTACTGAGCAGCGAAGGAACGACCAGAGAGTGCTGGAATTGAGCCTGGACGATGCTGTGACTAATGCAGTAAGTTTGATGTACCATGATTTGGACTTATTCCTCACCAGCATGATCAGTTGAAACCACACTAACGGTATACCTCCCTGGCAGATTGGTAAAATATCTGAAAACAAGTCCCTCTTTCTCAAGCGGGACGAATTGTGTTTTAACCTAACTTCTTCCACTTCTGGGAACTTGGAATCCACAATCTCAAGGTAGGCAACATAAAGCTGAGCCACTTGTCAGCACATCTGCATGTATACTCTCTAACCATCAGTATTTGTTTGTGAAGAGTGCTTGACCGGCATGGAAATCATGATGGTTACCCCGAGATAAGCATTCCCACATACTTTGATTTACGACCGTATAAAGGTCTTGTTGTTCCCATCGAGGAAGACCTATTGGATGATGAAGCTGCTGAAGATGATGTGCCAATTGAAGTTCCGTCACTGTTTGATGGCAAGGTTGCACCTGACGCTTCCTTTTCAGATATGGAGCCAGACTACGTAAGTGAGCCATTGCACTGGAGGAGTTCGCACCTGTGCTGTGCAACATACTGATCACCAGTATGGCACTTGCCGCAATCCTGTATTGATTATGCTTGGATTGCAGGTGCACGGGGAAGCCTTGCACTACGAGGCCCCTAATGGAGAGGACAAGGATTTTGATGATATTTGTGACTTTGATGACTTTGATCTTGTGGATAAGCTTGTTGCGGAACATGCAGCGAAGAAGGCTGCCCGCGCAGCAGAAAATGCTAACTTGCCAGAGGAGGTAGACTTCTTAGTTGTGCGTTGCTAGTCGTCGTGTGTGCTGCAACTGTCTCTGAGCTAATGTCTCACACTTCACAGGCCATGATTGCAAGGACCCCACAAGTGGTTCCTCCTGTCCAAGCTCATGCACAGCATGTGGATGCTGAAGAGCCCCACCCGCCTCAAGAACATGAGCAAAGTCACGCACCTCCTGAGCCTTTCCCTGACCCGATCATAGAATGTGCGGATGCAAACCAAGTTAAACCAGGTGTTCATGAGGCGACTCAAGTTTGTGGTCTGTACAAGCCACAGTTTGGTAAAAGAAAATCACGTCTGGAGAAAATGGTTTCAACTCCAGTGGACCAGCCAGAAGATGATCTCATGGGGCCACCAGAGTGCCAATCTGAGGAACAACCAGTAGAAATGGCTGTGGATGGAAGTGGCCCACCAGGTGTCATCATCCAAACTGAGGAGGCCCCAGCCGTTGACAAGGTATGATTCTTGGGGTTTGTGCCGCGTGTTTAGCTGTTCATGCTATCTCAACCTACTTCAGCAGGGTCCCAGTATCCTTCTCCTCGATCGGCTTGTGGTTTCAAAGTTTCGAGAGGCTGATTCCAGCAGCACTACCCGACAGAGCAGGTAAGGGAAGCAAGCTTGTGCACAATCAGTGTTTGCAGTCAAAGCTTCCTTGATTCCTTACGACCCATTCTGTTCTAACTCAATACGGATGATTGAGCGCTCGTCAAATTTGCAGGCAAATCCGTGATGCAGACAGGCTTCTTATGCCACCACAACAGTGTGAGGAACCAGTTCCCTCAGATCCGTGGGATGATACCGATATGGACCGAGACATGTTCAGGCTTTCACTGTACAGATGTAAGTGCTCAGGTTACAAAAAGGAAGCAAACGATTTCATGAAATCACATACGCGCCTTTGAAAGACAAGTTTTATTCGTGGCATTTCTTTTGATGTTTTTTTTTTTTGGGGCTTGTGCAGCAAGATTTGATATTGTTTCGTATCGTGAAAAGATGTTTACCGACCCTTCCGTGGTATGATGCTACTTTTGTACAAACTTTGATTTACCAGCGTTGGATAATAACGTTTTCCTAATGATCTGCAGATTGAGGGGGGATTCGACCTCGACTTCTCCACTGTTTCATGTATGTTGTTTTTATGGCTCTTTTTGTCTTCTCTGGGCTCGTCCATTGGAAATCCCAGTTCAGGAGCCATCTGGTTCCTCGATGCCTGAAGAGGACCACAAAAACCAGGATTTCTGGGATTCATGTGGATGGGAGGATCTGGATCCAGTTCACTCTCCCAATCACGATGGTCCAGCTGTGATGCATCAGCCGCAGCGACATACGCCAGTGGTGGCTTATTGCAAGCCAAGTGCTGAGCCATGTGCCGATACTACTTTTAGGATTCCACCCTCAGGAGGTTCAAGGGTCCATTCTGAGAACATTCTGCTCGCATCTGCTCCGTATCCTGCAAGAGACTGCAGCAACTATCCAGTTTCGTTCACTGCTCCATTTGCCGCTGACCATGACCAACCAGGATCATCATTTTTACACGACGATGCGAGGCACACTGACGTTCATCCGATGCCTGAAACTGACTGTTTTCCGAAAGCAGCAGATATGTGCCACAGTGTTCCTGTGCCCACAAGGATTGAGACGGTACCACCTCCTGTTAGCATTGGACTCGTACGCCCTGCTACGGCATCCTGTCATATTGCTCCTTCCACGGCTTTGACAGGACATGCGGCTCCTAGTTCACAGGCAGGTGGATCTCAATCGACTGCAACTCATCCACAATGTTCCATGGGTTCATCAGCTGTGGAAACTTCCTCTTGTGGTAATGCACGAGGGAAGCGCCCCAGGCTCCAAGACCTGATCGAGCAAGTGATGAGTCGAGATGCATATCCGGTACGTTTTTTTTTTTTTTTTTTTTTTTTTTTTTTTTTTTTTAACTGATTGTTTCACCCTGCATATGTGGCAGTCATCATTGTTCACAAAGCTCGTGTTTATGTTGCCACTACAGGAGCACTTATCTGTCCCGTCAAGCATCTCTGCACTTTCACATAAGCTAGAAATGGACATTGCTCTGGCTGTCAGGTCTGGAGAGAGAGTATTTGGAAGAGATCATCTAACAAATATGCTTGGACAAACTGCTGCAAAAGGTAATGCATCAAAATCACAATCCTTGTTTGAGAGGCCAGTTCTCTTTCTAACTGTGGTTAGTTCTGCAGGAACAATGTCATCGCAGAGGTACTTGATGGTGCTGTTGAACCTGGCACACCA